AAAATAGAAGTGATTTAATAATCAATCAATGCCAACAGCTATTAACCTGTTTCCCAAATTGAGTAATACATTCAGACATTACAATGTTTTAATGCATTTTAAGTTATGTCTTATCCACGAAAGAACAATACTTTTCGAAATAAGAATATATATATATATATATATATATATATATATATGTAGTTAATTTTTAGATATTATATTTACCATTTTAGAAATATCCTTCGATATAATGAGAAGCGTAATTGGATAAAAATAAATTATTTGAAATGTTTCAAAACAAATTGTAATGCATTTCCGTGTTAGGCATGCTAATCGCGAAAGAGAAATCGAAGTTCGAAAGGTTCTGCATAGCTATGCTTTCCACGTATTACGGTTTGTGCATGTCGGATCGTTGATGCTACCGGAAATTAGATTGGGTATCCATTGAACATTTATTAGATACTATTCTATAGCTTTTATAACTTCGTGTCACACTTATATATCTTTCATTATGTTTAGTTGACTTATAAATAAATAAATAATAAATATAAAGGACAAAGTTAATTGCGGCTTTTAATATAAGAAAAATTATATTACATTAAATTTCATTACTGTGAGACAACAAAGTAACAAACAATCAGAATTCATCTTTTATTCTATATTGTTTTTCTAATTAAAAATTCTTTTTAATTTATAATTAATATTATTTGACTTTTTACTCTTTATCTTCTTGTGATAAACGTAGTAGCATTTTCTCTCTCGTAATATAATTCAAAAATAAAATAATGTAATTCAATTTAATAATTAAAAATAAAAATTATAGAAATTAATCTTTCCATATTCATTTTATTATAAAATAATATTAATTTGTGAAATATTAAATATTTTATAGAATAATCAGCTAAACTAATTTGTATTAAAAATTTTGATAAAAAAGTTTATTATTAAACATAATGTGAACATAATATAAATTGTATTTTTAATATTGCTTTATAAAATACGAAAGAATAATATATGTTATAATCAAATATTTTTCAAATTCAATGAAATTTCCTATACTATTACACTAGTAATACTGCTATTATGCTAGTTTAGGATATATGTACAACATATTATGCATAAGTAATGCCTGTAAATGACACACTGTTTGCATAATTGCCAAAGTATTCTCTCTAAATAAATAAAGCATATATAGTTAATATTAAATATACAAATATTAAATAATTACATTAATAAAATTAAAAAAATAATTACAATTAAATTACTAAATTAATAATTAAATAGCTAAGCTTTTGTAAAGTAAAAGTTTCAATAATATTGAACAGAGAGTATAATAACTAAGAAAGATCGCTTCGTTTTCAAAATACACTTATATTCAGATTTACACATGCTCGCATGTATTTCGACCTAATATGATAAATGACTTAATATGTTTCGCAGACAACGCATCGGTGTAGCCATTTGCAAACTTGTTTCAGAATGACAGTTCTTACCACGCACATAGAACGTTATGTGTTTCTGCGACGCGAAACGTCGCTATGGTTTCGAACAATGCTTTTGAAATAGCTTACGATAGTAGTTTTCTATACGTATATTCGAAAAATTCACGTAGAAAACGATGCAGCTATTTCGTCTACGATGCTTATTGTTCCAATGTACAATGACGGAATAACGACTGAATTTTTATGATTCCCGATTTACCCCCAATTTCTCGCCTACACTTCTTCAGAGAAATAAAAAGGAAGATTTTTTTAAAAAAATTTCAAATTGAAATTTATTTATTTATTTATACATGTGAAACAAGAAATACTCAATGCTGTATGCACATTAATCAGTTTTAGAGAAAAAATAATTTTCTATGACTACCATCTGTGTTTGATTCTTAATAATTGCGAAATTCAAATTTGTGTTTTTGAAAGATGAAAGTCGTAGAGTGAAAATGCACACACACACACACACACAACACACACACACACACACACACAAATTAATGAGAACCGTTCTAATAAATATAATATAAAAACAAGGAAGAAAAGAGCTAATAAGAATCAAGTGCAAATAACAGGGCACGATAAATTACCTTTAGAAAAATCTCTTTAATTATCTATAAATAAACGCGCGTGCACGCGCACTTTGATCTATTTCGGATCTTCTTCAATATTTAATATATTGAAAATCCTGTGCGTGTTCCGATTTGCCAAGAAAATAAACATAGTAAATCTTTTATCGATTCTGACCGCTAGAAACAAAACTTCACAAGACGCAACAAAATGATATTGTAAAAATGCCATCTTGCATAAAAATTCAAGAGAGACGCAAAAGGATAGAAAACATAACTATAAAAATATTTTAATATAATTTATATATTAATATATTAATTATATTTATTTTTATATTATTTTAATAATCGGTAATTGTTTTAATCGCGAAACATTTATCTAAATAATTATAAGAAATTTTTAAAGAAAATTTTTTTTGGCTCTGTTTTCCGCGCTTGGATCAATCAATTTTTTCTTGTTTTTATATGAAAACATATATTTTCACATTTTCATTGAGATATATGTTTAGATTATATCAATTATCGCAGTTTGTATCAATTTATAGTATTAGATAAAGATTGATAATATTACTGAATTTTAATTAAAAAATAAGGTTCTTGTTAATCAATAAATTAATCAATAAATAAGATTTCACTTATATTATTTTCTTATGAATTTAGAAAAAATATTAATTTTTTGCATTTAAATTTTGATAGAAACTAAAACTTAATTAATTAAATTAAAATTTTATTGAAAAGAAGTTTTAATGATATTATTTTTTTTATAAATCGTACTATTCATACACGCACACATAATTATTTATTAAATATGATAAATATATATTATTTACTTTAATTAAGAAAATAAATTCGTTTTGGTTTTATATATTAAACTTATTGTCGATCTCGCACACAATATTATCATCAATGCTTATTATAATGTAATAAAATGTTATTTAGCATAAAATGCAAGATTTCGTTAAATAGAAAACTGTCAACACATTTCAAAGGATGAGAAGTTCTAATTATTAGTACACATGTATAGAATTAATAGACGAAATGTGCAAGCTATTTGACACGCACATGTGATGAGTATTCATGAGATGAAACTTTCTATTATTAAAAATGTACTCGATAAAATTCTCGAAAATTCTCTTTATTATTTACTTTAAATTTTTGTGAAATTCTTTTATAATTTAATTTTTTTTATTATATCTGTATTGATATAGAAATATATTGTCTAAACATTGTCTAGATATTTATGTGCGAGGATTCTATTATAAACTTGTAAGTTCTAGCTTTTCTCGATCTTGAAGAGAAGAGCATAAAGTAATTGTCAAGTTTCTCTCTGGAAACTCGCAGTATGCTTTATAGCATGGTGAATGAGTAGGATTTGTATTTTAAACGTAAAATGTTTATTGTCCTGCTAAAACTAAATCAGTGCGACCTGAAAACTATGTACCATGATACGTGCAATTAAATACATGAACTTTCGTTACGAACGAGTCAAAGTGTTTTCTACCCTGTTTTCTCATTTTAACATTTAATTAATGAAACATGTTATATATCAATGAAACATGTTAAATTTATTGTCAGAAAAATCCGTGTCCAATAACATTATCAACATAGTACTCGAATAGCAATAAATTTAATTTAAAAAGACTCATGTAAAATAAACCTTTTATTTAATTTAATATTATTTATTTTTTTTATTAAATGTGGATGTGTGTGAGAAGAAATAATTTCTTTTGTACTTGAAAGAAATTAAAATCTTGATTAAAATTCAATCATATGAGATGGTTCAATTATACGATTGATGTGATAAAAATAAATTCACTGTAATTACTATATTGTGATTGAACTTGGTAAATTGTTGTTATTGCGTGCAATGCAAAATTAGTTAAGAGCTAATGTCGAAACAAGGGACTAGTTTGTCTAATCTAATGAATGTTTACAGAAACACACATGTTAATTTATATATGTTTAGATGTATTACGTTAATTTGTGTCTATTTGACAGCTTTAATTAACATTGATAATTATAGAATTTCGTTATTATATTCGATTATTTTATAATCTGATCTTTTGTTATATGTCAAATAATTATAAATCATATATTTTGCTATGTAAATATATTATAAATATATTTATAAAATGTATATAATTAGATTACGCACATATCCAAAATTTATTAGGTATTACAAAATTCATTGATATAATATTTTATTTATAACATTTATGTGCTATTACAAGAGCTACAAATATATTATTGATCATAAAATGTGGGTTTATTATTATACAATATTATGTACTGTGTAATAATATATAGGAATAAGTTAGAATAGAGTTACGCTGCATGCAGTATAATGTTACTGTTTAATTTGCGAGGAATATTTTCAATCTAAAATGCCATTACAATTTGCAACAGCAATTTACACTTTCACTACATGTGAATGTAGTAGCATAAAATTGCATTAATTAACATGATTGCATTTGGTATCATATTGGATTATACGTGAAATAACTATTGCAAAGCATGACGTATGAAGTTGTTATGTATAAATCGTATGCATAACAAATAAAGTTTTGAAAAAATATACATGGAAAAATGTGTAACAAATTTTTTTATAATTTGTGAGTAGTCATTAAAGTAGTCATTAAAAGAAACAATATTAAAACGATACTATAAAGTGTTTAAATAATAAAATTGTACTTATGAAGTAGCAAAAATACTATATAATTAGTATTTAAAATTATTTTCCATAATTATCAAAATTTTTTAAACAAAACAATATATTCCAAATTTTCTTATAAATCTTATTTAATAAATAGAAATGTCTACAGTTCTTATATAAGTTCCAAGAAAAATTTTATCAAGCGAGAAACAACGGATTAATCTCTAAGTCATAAATCTCATAGTCAGTAATTCGCTGAAATTTGGAGAAGAATATTAAGTAGTTATGTCATGCCGTTTGTTGCAGATACATGGCCATTATGCATCCTCTTAAACATCATATGTCTCGCAAGAGAACGGTGATTACTTTAATTTTAATCTGGGGCATTTCATCTGCATTAGCGATTCCGTGCCTTTTATATTCTACAACATCATCACGCAGGCAAGTATAATTTCTAGAAGACAATTTTTGTTATTTACAATAACATCAGTATCCAGTTGTAATATATTTTTTATTATATCTCTTTCTTATATTAATTATATTAATAATATGAATTTTTATTCTTTTTAAAATTAAGAATGTAAATAGGATAAAAGTAATAGCATAAATGATTTTTATATTTTAATAATATATTTCAATTCCTGAATTTTAATAATATTAATTCTGCACTTTCGTGTCTTTTATTTCACATGTCATTTCTTATAACACAACAGATTATATTAATAGAAAAAAAAAAAAAAAAATATATATATATATATATATATATAGAAATCTGTATATATATATAGAAATCTGTATATATATATAGAAAATCTGTGTAAAATAACTTTTTGGTATATAATGTATACTTCTTTTTTTATTCTTATTTTTATTTCTTGTGTTTTTAATTTTGTATTTCAAGGATTTATATATAAATATTATTTATAGTTGAACAATTTTTAATATTAAATTTCGAGACATTAATAAGTTTTCTTATAAGCAAAAAATTCAAATTTCTTTGGACATTAAGTAAAAAAATATATCTCATATTAAATCATAAAATTATTTTATTACATTGTCTTGTCTCCAGAATCTTACTTTTTTGTATAAAAAGTTATATCAAACTTTTTATTTAATTTTCTTAATATATATTTTTTAATATATATATTTTTAAATATATATATTTTATGGAGAAAAAGAGTTTATAATATCTGGTTTTAGATATACTTATAATTTTAATTATGTACAATTTTAAAGTTATATTTATGTTGTATATTAAAAATCAGTAAAGAAATATTCAAGAAAAAATGCTTCATTAAAAATATCTTCTACTTTAAATGATATAAAAATACTATAATTAATAATCAAAACATAACATTTGGATTATATGGTTCCTTTCTCTATGTAGCGATTCAATATAGTTCTTCAATAGTGCCTTAAATTATCTTGTGGGTATCTCGCCACATAATGTTATCTGCATCGATATTTTTATAAGTATTTATAAGCTTTTGTGTGTGTATATCCGTGCGTGTGTATGTGTTCGCGTATGCGTAAAAGATTTGATTTTTATAAGCTATTTTGTGTAAATTTATGCAGTATTTTAACGTTAAATGTTGTAAAATAATTCGCAGACTATGTATTGATTTAATACATAATCCGATTGGAGCAGGCAATGCTGCCAATGCTTTAAGTTTCTTATTATTCTAAATACACACACAAATAAAAAAGTTAATTATTTTCTCGCCTATAGATTTTTTCCTTATTTATAACTTTTCTTTATATTTTTTTACAATTTACCCTGATTATTTTAGACAGTATTATTTACAATAGAAAAACAATAGAAATTGTAAAATTTCTAAAATACTCAAAATTTCTTTAAAATGTTGTTTTTCTATAAATAACCGAAATAAACTAATTTTAAAAATCTTCTTATCCTAAACATATAATATTTACTTCACTTTGAATGCTAAAGCTGATTTTATCTTTTAAAGCTGACCGCATGTTTTTAAAGTAGTATGCACGATTTTAACGTTAGCTATAATAAATAGCTTTTTATAAATTTTAACAAGTTAGAAAAACTTTTTATAATAGAAAATAAATTATGTATATGCTATATTGCAAATTACGCTAAATATCGATTAAAATACGCAAATTATTGCATGTACTTAGAGTAAAACGAACAATGAATGTTTTAGAATCGTGTTTCATGTTAAATAATATATGCACGCGAACACACACAAACTTGATATCTTTATTATCATTAAATTTCATTAAATTTTTAACATTCCTTAGCAATTTCAAAATCTACTTTACATAACCACATTTAATGTTTCCATTCGAATAGCTTTTAATGTTTCCATTCGAATAGCTTTACTGTTTCCTTTCTTTATATCTATGCTGCTAAACCTTTTCCTCGATCCTTGTTATAGAGGAGCAAAAAACTTTCAACTCTTATTGACTGATATTCGAAAATGCAGAGCATATGTATTTTGATAATAATTTAAAAATATTTAATGAGTCTTTTCTATCATTCCGGATAATACTTATTACATTAACCGCTATTTATATTTATTTTAATATGTTTAGAAAAATTAATATACAGCCAATTGCAGATATTCTCATGGAACAACCAGAATTTCGTGTTATCTTTTATGGCCTGATGGAGATTATTTACATAGTAAAACAGAATATTGGTAAGTAATAAGTTCTATTCTATCAATTTTTTTTATGTTGAACCTACTCCAACTCCGAATGTAATGAACTTTATGTATATATATATATATATATATATATATATATATACATGTATGCATGTACGTATATATGTACATATATAAATATATGTATGTATGTATATATGTATATGTATGAGAGAAATTGGGATTATTAGATGTTGTCTGATAGAAAAAGCGTGCATGTGAAATCGCGTGCGGAAAGAAATTCCTGTAAACTGTGTCCGTAGCTATAATCCGAATGCAAAAGAGATTGAATCAACGATTATCCTAAGAAAGTAGAATAGGAGATTAGTGTATGTCTACTCTCAACATATCACTAGGGAATGATAAGAGTAGTTCGACCTAATTAGAGTAGTTACATCTGATCCATTGAATTGCGGAAAATATTTAATATTGTTCTACGATTAGTTTCTTTTTATTTCAGAATTTAATAAAATTACATTTTATTTTAATGATTATCTAATGTAGGATAATTTAAAAAAAGTTGTTATAAAAGAAAGAAATACAATTGAATATTTCCTAGTATAAAATCAGCTTTCAACTATGAAATTTGAAAGAGTATACACAATACAAATTCTATCCATTATGTAATAATACAAAATTTAGATTTTTCTAAATGTGAATTTAGAAAGTGATAAAGAGGACGAGAGAGAGAGAGAGAGAGAGAAAGAGAGAGAGAGAATATTTAAGATTAAAAGAGTTAAGCTACTTTTAAGATAAACATTTATAGTTTCGTGTTATTTCTAAAACTCAAATAAAATCGATTTAAAGTTCGGCGAAAAGAGAAAAGCTGGAAAAAATAAACTGATATAGGGCGTAGAATCTCGATATTGAATGTAACAGTTTTCCTTTTCTATATAAATAAGTTTAAAAAATACAAACAAAATTTTCAAATATTTTTTAGTAAAAATGTTATCATATAAGAAATATAATATAAATAAAAAATATTTAATCCAGAAAAAATATATAACTGTATATCTATAATTTATAAGCCAAATATAAATATATAGATTTATTTTTTATCATTTGCATTATATAGCTTCTTTTCTCTTAATAAGTTTACGAAATTTTGAAGCTAAAGAATTTAATTTTCAAATTTAAAAAATTAAAAAATTAAAAAAAACAAAGATTATATTCAAATTTTTTATAAAAAAGTGTTGATTTCTAATTAAATATTCTTGCAAATTTTGATTATTCCTTCGTTTCAATAAATTCGTTTCAATAAATAGGGAAATACATCTAAGCAAAACTTTAGATATATGTATGTATCTCCGAAGTTTTCATTTATTGGATAGTTTGTAAGCTTAAAGTCGTTAGTGCAAATACTCTTCTCTTTCAAAGAACATCATTGAAGTTTACGTAGAGAATACCTCTACATATCTATGAGAATGTCTCTACATATCTATGAAATGTTTCCAAGTTAGTTTATTTAACAACAATTCTGCTGGAATAACGCATAATAGGATAATTTAAAACACTTCAGCAGGAAGTGGCAGAGTCCTATATATATCAAAATATATATATATCCAAGTTCTGCACAATTTCTATCTATGTCAAGTTCCAAGTAATCTCGCGGAATGTTTCTCTTATGTGTAATTTGAGTTATCAAGCGATCATGATTTTCGCATATACTCTTGATTGAAATTCCAAACGAAAGTGTTTGCAAGGACATGATCGAAATATACTCTCTGTCTGTGCTAGAAAATAATTATCAAAATATCTCGAGCAAATAATAAAAGATAAAAATAATTAAAGTAATATTAATTAGATATCTCAAATAATTTTACTTCCAACGATGATTATAAAAAAACATGCAAAAATGTTTTCAATTAATTTGAAACTCTCTACATCATAATTGAAAAGAAACATTCTTGAAGTTATGTCTAGCACATTTTAACTAAATAAAAAACTTTATTTTATGTAATTATTTTGTTTATTTTTGTGGATCAAAATATTTTGCATAATATATCTTATAATTCGCAAACAATAAATTAAATATGTAAAATAAATTTTATTTTCTATTATCGTATTTAACGTATGAATTTTTTTCATTCAAAGTTAATAACTATTATATATTAACTCTCTTTCTCTCTCTCTCTCTAATAAATAATTTATTTAGTTATTAAATAAATTATTATTAAATTGTTTTGACTTTTATATACAAGTTCTATATTATCATAACAATAATAATAATGAAATTACGTGATTTTTCTATTTGAATATTTTTTTAAACATATTCTTAAATATATGATATCCATTCAAAGTTAAAGATTGTTAATTTATTTGATATTATTGTTATATTGGATTTAAATATATCTCAATTACCAAAACAAATTCTCTACAATTTTTTTAAATAATATACGTTGCTAGTCACATATTTTATGAAATGAATTACGGTTTTAATAAAATGTATTATAATAGCAGTGTAGGTTCTTTATAATGATTATATATACATCATTTATTCTACAGCTACAATCTACTATTCCTCACTGTAACATATCTGGTTCCTATGACAGTGATGGCTGTCTGTTATGCGTGTATGGGACGAAAATTATGGGGTTCAAAATCTATCGGCGAACTTACACACTATCAAAAAGAGTCGATGAAATCTAAACGTAAGGTATGTTATTGATTCCATTAATCATCATTTAAATAACATTCCGCGTTAATATAAGTAATGTACAAAATATGTCGACTGTCATGTTGTGAAATCTAAAAATAAATATTTTCTCTCGTTATATTCTGTATATTGTATTTTGATAGTTTTCCAACTTTAAAAAAAAACAAAGATGCCTCAAAAAATTTGAAAAATAATCACAAATACATGATGAATATACATGATATATAAATAAAAATATGGAATATTTTCGCGTTTCATCTAGGCAAAAATTTCAAAATACACTTTTATAAACTAGATCATCGTCGCATTACTGTTATAAAACGATTTGCAATTTTATTTACACAAATTCACATGCAAATCAAAAGTTTTTACAATTATCTATTTAAACATCAATGATTTTAAACAAATTTTTAATGATATAAATTAATTTCTGTGTTTTACATTAAACTTTAAATTGCTCTTGATTTAGTATCAATATAATAACTTGGAAATACAAGATGAACGTTGAAACTGTAAACTTGAAGACAATACGTTTCTATTAAGCTCTCCTCTTAATACTATTGCCCAACGGCATATATAAATTTTGGAATTAAGTGTAACTAAGCATTATTATAAATATTGTATTTATGCAATCAAAAATGTAATGATAAAATGCAACAATAAAAATATTTGTTAAATTTTATTAAAAATTTTTAGCAAATTTGGTTAGGCTGCGCTAAAAAATGTACACTAAAAGTGATGGTGTATTTATTAAAAAGTCTATCATATACAAATTTACAATAATAGAATAATATAATTAACAGTAATTAAAAAAAACAGTAAGATAAGTATACCATGATACACACATACACACACACATACACACACACACACACACACACATATATTATTCAACATGAATAATGACTCGTAGTGATAATAATAACTCGTAGAATTAATTTTATGTCTATTATCCAATAATTTCAAAATCTTATTATTTTATTTATGCTTTTAAATTTGTATACAATAGCCTTTAATATGCATTAATGCACACGATTAAGAATTCGCTGTTACTAATAATATATCCGATATATATAACAAGGAATGAATTATCCAATAAATTTCGTGTGATCAAAAAATAAATTTATAATAATTTGAAAAAGTGTATATTTAACCGATCTCAAATTCATCAAAATATCCATAATTTAAAAAATATAATAATTTAAAGCAAAATATATTAAAAAATTCTTTTAATATTTTTTATATGTTGCAGGTTGTAAAAATGTTTATCATTGTAGTGACAATATTTGCGGTATGCTGGCTGCCATATCAAGGGTTCTTCATTTTTGTGTATCATTATCGTCATTTCACAGAAAGCAGTTATGTACAACACGTATATTTAGGTTTCTATTGGTTGGCCATGTCTAACTCTATGGTTAATCCGATAATATATTACTGGATGAATAGCAGGTATTGCATTGTTTTTCTTGCATAATATAAAGAAAAGTTTGAAATTAATATCATCAAAAATAAGTTTGCAATAGATTGACATGACTACAATGAAATTAACAGCATGACGTATAATATACAAGTATATCTGATGAGAATTTACGTTAATACTAAATTGATTGAGTTTGAGTCTTATACAGTAATATAGTATGAGATTTACGTAAATCCTAATGACATCCAATCAAATATAATACTTTGAAAAACCTTGGACAATTGTTGGAATTACGTTGGAAGTTTTTTTCGATAATTTAAAGAGATAAACACGAAACTCAGAATTAATATTGTCACAAATATAATTTCTCATTCCAAAACTTCATCGGGATCTTTTACATAAAATTATATGATTCCACTGTTTTCATATAATTAAAATTGCTTTGAAGTAAATGTAAATTATAAATTAGTCGTTCTTAAAAAAAAATATTTATCTTAATAATCTTAATAATCTCTATTAATAATCACTTTTTTTTTAAATAGTGAGAAATTATATATAAAAAATCTTTCATAAAAATATAATTATCCTTATATGCTCTACACTCGAGATAATTAATAATGATTATAAGTTTAATAAAATTTTTGAACATTTATGAATCATTTGGCAGTTCCTGACCGCATCATTTAATCACTATAACGCGAATAACATCGATCCCTCGGTTAACCACAGAGCTTCCATTTACATTCTAATTATACATTTCCTCTCGCATATTGATTTAGAATAGTTTATTTCAGCTATCCGTTAATCTTCTTCATTTTGAAATCTGATCATATCTGACAAACGCAATATGATTATCACTATCAGATAAATTTTTTTTCATTGTACTTCGCAGAAATCTTGTTATTAAGACTTACTATATAATTGATAACCTTAGACGTTTTTATTAGAAACTTCTGGCAGACGTTTTTATTAGAATCTTCTGAAGTTTTTGTCTAATAATTATTCATACTACATCTGATGAAAAATAATTGTGAACGATCAAAAAAGAAATAAGTAAAAAAAATTAATTTCTTTAAATTTTTTATGATTCTTTATTTATCCACTATTATTTTCTGAAATATATATATAATGTAAGACATATTTAAAAACATTTTAGTATAATATGCAATAATGAAAAACAAAAACAAGCTATATACTCTCATAAACATTTTTTTAATATTAAATAAATATGTTATTAAAAATGTTAAGCAAAATTAAAAACTATTTTTTAGAGAAGGAGATTTACAATATAAAAAAATTAATTAACAATATATCTCTCTTTCGCAGTATTTTTATCATTAATTTCATTTAATGCGCAATTAAATTTTAAACTAAATTTATATTAAAAAAGCAAAGTTTGATGAAAACTTTAAAAATTTTGTTATTTTAAAAAATACATAATATCTAGATTATCATATTTATGGTAAATTTATCTTGACAATTTTAAATCCTGTTTCATTAAATTGCACATATAAATGCATTATAAATTTAAACCTTACTGTATTATGTTGCAAATAGATTAAATTTGAAGTTTGACATCTTCCACTATGAAAGCGCCGCAATATTTGCATTCTCTCCACCATTGTCTATTCAATGACCACTTCATGCCCGCGATAAACTATGTGAATTCAATTATCATTCTATTAAAATGATATAGCGCAATAGCATAACAATCACAAGTAATATCTTTAGTATTGATATCATAAAACAGTTATAAAAGTATAATAAAAGTATAATAACATGCTTCTGATCTCTGTTTTATTGCTATTGCGATTAATTCACAATCTATTAGATTCTAAATAATAAACGTACGTGTTTTAAAATAACAATGTTTGATGATATTATTTAAAAATTGAAAAAAAACATGGAAATAAAGTACTATATTTATAACAGCTTATGTTACATAATATTTTTAAAGCTTTAAATTTATTTTTGATAAATTTATTTTATATAGTATGTATCTTATGTTTTAATAAAAATAATTTAAATTTTTTAAAATTTAAATATAATATGCATGTGTATTTTAACGTCAATTTGACATTTTTTTATACAATGAATAATTAATCTGCTAAAGCAAATGTGAGACTAATTATTAAATAATAGCAACATTATAACAATAGATGTATAATATACAATATTATACAACATTATTATATTCTGTTCTAAATAATTAATTTTACATAATAAAAAATATAATTAATAATTATACGTATATATATATGTGTGTGTGTGTGTGTGTGTGTGAAAGAATACCTGATTACTTCTTCTATATATAAGAAGTAATCAGGTATGCTTTCACACATATGTATATACATCATATATATACGTATAATTATTAATTATATTTTTTATTATATAAAATTAATATATATATATATATATTATAATACATAAAAATTGTATGAAATCTCTATAGAATCAGAATCATGTCCATATATAATCTATTAGAGAAACACTTTTCTATATTTTTCTGAGGAGTATCATAAATGTCAAGGATCAACAATTAAATAAGGAAATTTCTATTGAAATATACTTATAATTATATTTATAAGAATCAATATATTCTATAATTTATATATTTTACATTATATGATATATATGTCATGTTAATAATTCCAATTAAAAAAATTGTTCATAATCATTTTTTAATGAGAAAAAGGATTTAAAAAATTTATTTGAAAAAATTAATTTTAAGAATCTTAATTTGGTACGCATATGCGTGCAATTATAATTATCTCATTGGCAGTACAGATATATAAATATTAAAATTTATTATAAAAATAGAGTATTTTAATAATATAAAAGTATGAAGTATTTTTAACAAAATAAAATTTATATAATCGTTTATCTATTATATTTATTTATTTATCTACTGTATATTAAAAATAGGAAATATAAAAAATGCGAAAAAATATGCTATATATGTATAAAAGAATGGATTTCTTATATGGTTGACTTAGAAGTTTTAATTGATAATTTTTCTTTTTTACATATATTGTATAATATAAATATAAGGATATTATTATCTGATCTAAACTCACACAAAGCGTTAATGTGCTTGATAATATAATGTAATATATTTGATTGTAATATAACTATCTCTTCAATTCATTTGAAATTTCATTCATGTATATCAGTGCATAAACTGCATTATCTTATACAACAATCCTTTACATCGAATACACTTCGATTTAATTAATTGGATGAACAGAAAATTGTTTATACATGCAGCATATGAATCATAGCACGCAATAATTGTTTCAGATTTCGAGTTTACTTTGATCTAGTAATCTGCAAATGTTGCTGCGTAGTGGATCGGACAAATGTGCGACGTCGTGAAACACAAGAATTGACAGGACTTCAACGCTCAGAATTAGTACCATGCAATTCAGGTAATTACTTATCATCGCAATTTGATTACAAATGACATTGAATCGATGATATTTTATAGTTGTAAATATTTTCTATTTAACGATTTACATGTTTGGCGATTATAGTGTATCTATTGTTTCGAAAAAATATGATCATACTTTTATAATATTGTATAAAAGAAAACGACATTAGCAATATTATTTTAAAAATCTATTCAAAATTTTTATATATTTGCGCTTATTTCTTTTCAATAAAATATATGTATTTTCACATTTTTTTTACCTCTTTTGTATTTTATATCTGCTGTATAGGCAGAAAAATGTCAAAACTGAACTATGTTTCATTGACAATGCTACATTGCCACTAACGAATCGAAGAGAGTGTCAAATCGCCGAATTATATCGTTTGAAGCGTCAGATAGACAGTATCGACGCATCCAATATCTCGTTCAAAGGGGTCGGATATTGTGATGTAAATCGTCTATTTTTAAATATAGAATCTTTTATACGAGAACTTATATACTTTTATAGGAGAAGAGTAGATACACACATCCATTTAACATTTTATATACATTCTTTACCAGGCAATACCGCTGACGTGAACTTATCAATGCGTATGAAACTTGATATATAAAATGGTTAAGATATGAATAAAGCGGTATCTTTTATCTGTGTTCATATGCATGAAGAAATGCATTCAAATTTAGCCAAAAGGACATTTTCTTGTGTACTTCTAAAATGTAATAGAAAAAATAACGTATCTGTTATAAAACGATTAAAATGTTTAAAAAGTTTTAAGAACATGTAATTATATAATTTTTTTTAAATTTTAATTACATAATTTGACAGCAATAAAATTAATATTTAATTTATAATTTTGATATTATTCTATTTTTCCATATTTATTATTAAATTATAAATTATACAACAAAGCAATATATATTGTGTTTTAAAATTTGATGTATATTTGATTTCAACAACAATTAAAAGACCTCGTTTATTTTAAGAGCAAATAAAATATATCATGTTCATATTTAAGTCATCTATAAATATTAATATATTAATTAATATTAAGTTTTAAAATTGATAAATTTGTAAGTAAAATAAACTATATAATTAACAAGAAATGTCTGAATTTATTACTTTCTACATATTTTTAAAAATTAGATTTTTTATCATGTTCTAAAGAAACTACATATTTTTACTACATATTTTTCAAATTATATATTTTGATAAATCAGAGCACAAGAACGCGTTTATTATAATTTATTCATATGATTTCTTTTTCTCTTTTTTCTTTATATTTAAAGCATTTTTATTATATAATAGAAGTGCGCATTCTTTCCCACGTTACACAACAGACATACCTGCATGCAAGTATTTCACATATTTTATTTAACACACGATGCGACAAGTATACGTTGAAAAATGTTATCGTAAGATCTCAGAGAGTAAGTTTTATTTAGGTCGCCACACATATTTTGATATTAACTATTTTCGGAATAGCATCCTTTAAATTCTAGTTAGTATCAGTTCAAACAGATATTTTTGTATGTATGTATGTTTGTATGTGTGGTTCAATATATATTTATCATCATTCTTACAACAAAATCTTCTTAGAGATTATATCAAGCAATGATATGTTTAGCTATCTAAAGAAACATCAATAGCTTCACAATATATAAATTCCAAAAATATCTCATGTCATATAAATATAAATATAAATTTATATATATATATATATATATATATATATATATATAAAATTATGTATTCAAAATATATATTTTTTAATTCTAAAGATATTAGACACTAGAAATCATAAATGATTTTTTGAAAATATTAAGTATTTTAAGTTAAGACTAGTTTAAGATAGCAGAAAAGAGATGTGAAGCAATTTGTGTACTAATTCGTCATGTCTGACTTTGAATATCTGCAATAGTAACAATTTATGGCATGGCTTAGCTTATGATAGACAGAGAAACGTTCTAGTATCCAATATTGCAAACGAAAATACTCTTCTCCAATATTGCAAATGTTTCTATCAAAAATATATAATGTGTATAAAAAAATGCAAATTTATCTTTATTAGACAGAAAAGGCAATAACTAAATTCAAGCAATGTACTTAAAATCCAAATTTAAATAATACATGTTCATACATATATATATATATATATATATATATATATATATGTATATATACAATGCATGATCGCATCATGCAAAAATGTGCAATTTCTGCAAAATTCTCCAATATTCTGGATTACTTCTTAAATAGGAGAAAATAACTTTAGCAAATATTTGATCTCTTGTTTGCGCTTTGCTTTGTTTTCAGGTCGTTTCAAATCGACCTCCATCAGGTGGCGACAGAGCATGGCAGAGAGCCAGGTACAAACGTTTAAAACGAATAGAACAATGTGTAATAGTCTTCAGCTTAAAGAGGATGTTGCTATAATTTGAATCGAGTATTAATTTAATTTCACATTACAAAAATACATTCACTAAAGATGATATTCTAATATTACCTCTTTCTTGTGTTTCACACAATGAGCTTTATTAAAAACAATTCTGGAACGTTATAATATAATATTTTGATTATTATATACTACTCTGCACAATTTATTATTAAATAGCTGATGAATAGTTATCGAATAGTTATTGTAATAAATTAATTATTTCATCAGCATTTGATAAAAGATAATTTTTCACTTAAATGAGGCTGAAATTACAATAAAGTTCGATGTTATTTATAATACTCGAATACTAATACATAATAGCATATGTATCTAAACATGTATCTTGTATATTCATGATAATCATTTATTATTCTTAAAGCTATTATTATAATGTGATAATAAGATTCTGTAAACACTATGAAATAAACGTGATTTGTTCAATTATATATAAACATAACTGTTTTGCTTCCAAATTTTATTTCCAGCATACTTTATTAATATAATGATTTTATAAGATGACGTATTTTATTTATTCATATAGTATTTTGCGGATGTTATATATTTTACAAAAATACATATATTTGGCATCTGACTCCATTTTTTTGCAATAAACTTTAAATAAATCTTATAATTGTAGATAAACATTTTATACATATATATATATATATATATATATATATATATATATATATATATTGTAATAAATATTACTTTATTATAATACTTTGATCGAATGACATATATCCATTGTCTTTTTCTTATCATTTTTCTCAACCGCTAAATCAACATTTTATATATTGTACTACGTATATGCAAAATTATTACTCTCATTAGCGCACATAAAGGGTCGTTATAAACTTCGAAATTTTAGGATAACGCGCTAAAATATAATGCTTGAGAAAAAAATAATTTGTTTGGGTATTTATTTATAACAAATGTATATGTTTATTTATAATAAATTAATATTTATTATTATTATTTCTGTATCGCAACTTTGATTTAAAACGGATTGAATCGAAATGAGTTGAATAAAAAGTAAAAAATATTTAAATATAATTATATCATTATATATAATATAATATAAATAAATATACACAAATATTAATAGTGCTACAATTTTTTAATTTAATTGTAATTTTTTAATTTATTATTATACAATTATCAACATCATTAATTTAAAAGTAAATAAAGAATCATTAATTATTTAATTAACTTTTTTAATTATTAATTGTCTGTATAGTTGGTGTGTGAAGATTAAATCGAGAATATGCGGCAAAATATGGATATTGAAAAACTTGACGAGAAGAACAAGTAATTTCACGATGCATACCTATAAAACAATGGTTCTAAGTACTTCGTAAGGTTTGAATGCGTTAGCTATTCATTTAACGCGGCAAGAAATAATGTGCAAACTATTATATTAAACTTAATTTTCTTATTACTCTTTATTAGAAATGTTTTATTATAAGATTTTATGAAGAATATATTCACATTTTATTAGTGAATTTAATATCAAATGTTCAAATAAAAAAAAATATATATATATATACATATATTGTTACATAAGCTATGTAGTAAAGAGAAAAATCAATAAATCATATAAATCAATTTTGAATTAATATTTTTAATAAAAATAAAAACTGTTATTATATCAATTATTAAAGAATATTTGAAATAAAGGATTCATATGAAAAACATATTTATAAATGTTATATAAATAGATTATATTTTTTATTATCAGTAAGCAGACCAATTTGTTTACTTTTGAATTTAAAAAAAATAAACATGTATAATTTACAAGAATTATTTAATTATGAATATGAAAAATTAATCAGATCAGATTAATCAAATTTAATGCTTAAAAATAATTTGGTGATGTGAATTTTAATATTTTATATATTTGTACACACACGCACATTTTAGTTTTAAACTTCAAAGCATAAGCTATAATTTTAAAAATATGTTATCGTTTAGTAGTAAATACAAATGTTTTATTATTTATTAATAATGATTTAAATTCTGAGTATCTGAGATCTGCGTTTGATACTGTTACATCAATATCAATTTGTTTTTGCAACCTATTTTTTTATTGATCGCGAACCAATGCATTATTTGCCTATGCAAATAGTATTCCAAAGTTATTTCAAAGATACAATCATAACTCTCCATTATAATTTATTTTTTGCAATTGTATTCATAAAAACATCATGACTAATATTTAATGTTTCAAAAAAGATTGTAATTTCTTCAAAATAATTTCATTTTTTATTGTCAGTAATATTCTTATTCAAATTAATTTTATCTGCTTTTTCATTGTTTTTTAATTACACACACATAAATTTATATATAATTTATATATTATATGTTACGCCATATATATATATATATATATATATATATATATATGGCGTAACATATAATATATATATATATTTTTAAGATATATTTATAAATAATCTAAAATTTTTTATACCATATTGCTAATACTACTTTTCCTTTTTTCTAGTCTAATAGAAAAACAGCAAGATAAATTTCCAGTATTTTCAATATAAAACTGATTTTTATCCATGCATTCTTTCGTTATCTCTCTCTTTAAAAAAATTATAGACAATTTCCATATAATTGTTACTTTGTTATACTTAATCATTATTACTTGCAAAAAAAGTTGCACAAATGTAAAATACAACATGCATTTGCTTTTTAAATTTAAATCTATTGCTATTTGAAAGATATAAGAAATAATTCATGATAAAAATATATGAATAGTTTGTGATAAATAGATTAGGGAGATTTAGGTGATATTTAAAATAGCGGAAAGAGATGATTTGTAATTTAAATTTTAAATTCAGATATAATTTCAAATAAATAATATTAAATATTATGATAACCGACCATTTGAAATAGATCAATTTTAAGCTCTTTTATATTCGGAGATATCAGAGAAGGTGAATTAAGGGATTATCATTCGCACATTTTTATACACGTGTGTAATATTTTAAATTTAGAATATATATATATATATATATATATATATATATAAGGTATATATATATATATATATATACCTTAAAATTGTATATCTTTCAATAAAATGATAAATTACACATTAGAATTTTTTAAATTACATTTTTATATTATCTTTCATTGATTGATAAATACAAGATATGCACCCATACTCTATAATAATCTATATCATTAATTTAACAGAATTGGAGAAAAGCTGTTTCAATTTTTTTGTAAAGTTTCAATCAAATGTCTTAAAGTGCATAGACTCTTATATCTTTTAAAACATGAATTAATATTTTTGCTCTTATACAACTATGCATATCTCAACTTGTTTGTAACATTATCTATTCTTTTATAAAATTTTCCAGGAATTTTTTATTTAGATTACTTTATTTTTGTTGCAAAATTACGAAAGGTTTACATTGTTATTTTATAAATATATATACGTATAAAACATATATTCAAGTATTAGCAAATAGCATAATAATTATTCAATAATAAAGATAGATAAATTACTCGTATTAAAAATTTAATTGAAAAATGAAAATTTATATCTTAAAAATTATCGTAGCATAGCAATGACGATGTTTTGTCGATATTTTTCATTTCTTCTATGTTGGCACACGAAATTATAATGGAATTATCAAATGATCATGTTCAACGAACATCGTATTGAAAGCAATGTTAAAAAATTATGATAAGCTCATGTTACGCATTCAGAAATTATATTATACAAGAATATATGCTCGGGTTAGAGAAAGAATTAATTTCTGACCCATATGTCCTCTATTTTTCATGCATAATGAATGAAAAATCACACATCTATCATCCATATATAATGTTAAATTGTTAGAAAATTTAATGTAAAAGACGTAAGCTGCACAATGTTTCATAATGCTCCAAAAAATTTTATAAATTTGACGAGTACAGTGGTTAAAGAAAAAAATGTTTGCCTCTGTTATACGAAGTCAAGTGACAAATATGATGGAGGCAAATTGCTCACACAAAAAAAGACTATATTTTATAAATTATCTTGGATTAAATCAGGCTGAGTCATCGTGAGTTTTTTTACGTAACATTTGTTTTCCATATTTATTAAGAACCGTATATTATTATATATGATATATTATAACATATTGCATATAAATATTGTATGAAAGTTGTATACAAAAGAATTAAATTATATAAAAATCTTTCAAAATGTATGCTCAGAATTTAAAATTCGAAACAGAGAAATAATATGAGACATGCTATTAACAAAATTACTTCTGCAAAGATTGTTTGGCTGCAGGAAATATATAGTAATACGAGCTTTTTGGCAATACAAAATTTTCAATCAAATAATGAGAGCACAAATAATAAAAAACTTAAACCTTAAATCTCCAAAGCATAGCGTGGTTCGTGTTACTAAGATCGCCAATTAAATGAAAATAGTTTATGAAATGCAGGTTGCGCTTTAAGCGATTTATTTCTTTCAAGTTTGCCATTTGCACAGCTTCGCACAAGAAAGGCGAATATGTACTACCTTTTCTATTCTTTCATCTGGAATTGTTACAATATGCATATTTGAGACAATGTAAAATCTAGTATGAAAAGAGGAAAATGGTGACATTTCGATTTCCAAGATTGAGGGGCTCTTTCGCCTGTTAAAGCAACATTTCATTATTTTATTGTTTGATGAACTCATTGCTATATCGAGATTTAAGTCTACTTTATTGATAAATGGATATTAGTGAGTATAAATGGATTGATTTAATGAATCTGTAAGACGTTTTACATTAATAAATCAGTTATGTTAATTGCGATAAATACGTTTATATAAATATGCATAGTAATAAAAAAGTTAAATAAATATATTTTCAGTTTTATCTAAGATCAATCACACACTCATCTATGTGTGATTGATTTTACAATTAGATAAAACTGAAAATATATTTATTTAACTTTTTTATTATTATTCTTGTATTGTATGCTTTTTAATGCCATAATTTATAATAAGATAATAATTAATTAGATACATAGTATGAGTTATGGTATATTGCTTTTACAGCATACGAACTTATTTATAAGAATAAAAATAAAGCAAATACTCTTCGTAAAAAT